AGTATAAAGCATACATCTATGAGAAAATTTAAATACTTTCAGAGAAAAGTAGTCATGAATTTAACATCAAAAAGAAAAAATATATAGATTAAATACAAGGAGAGGCTAAAATTTAATTAAATTCAGATAGAATTTTGCTACTTTAGGAAAAACGACAGGAGTAAGCAAATCTTTACACACACTAAAATCTTTATCTAAGGATTAAATACTCAAATTGTGTAAGTCGAATGATGGAAACGGCGGCACGAATAGTGGCAAAAGAAGAAGCTATCAAGATAGCTTGTCTCCGTAGCAATATTTATTTCTCGCGATCCAATCTTATCACTATTACTTATCGTTCAGAGAGCTCCTATCTCTAATAAACTTATACTCGTTCAATCGCCGCGGATCAATGCTCAATGCCGCCACGAAGTAGTCGTGCTCGAAATGCCCATAAATACCACGACAAATAGTACCTCGCAGTAACCGGACTAATTACTCGCCGAATCCGATCCCTCGATCGTGAGTCCTGATCCGTATTGCAGTACGAGATATACTTTGCGATAAAGGCGGTTACCATGAGTTAAAAGAGCGAGCAGTGATAATCGGAGAGGTCACCCCGTGGGACCTACGAGGGTCATCGCAGTCGAGGGAAGACTGATCGGCCGGGCCCACGAGAGAGTCTGGTCGCGCGAGCTCGTCCTCGGACCGGAAACACGCTCCACTTCGCGAGTGATCGGTGTTCAGCACGCGCATCGCAGGTTGTCCGGTCGTGCGAGTTGCTTCAACGACCGAAAGCATGTCGCCGTCAAGGTGGAAGTTTCGTCAACGGTCACTTTTCTTGGATTGGTCAGGGTCAACGGTGAACGCGTGGACGATAGAAAGTTTTCAAAATCTGGTCTGGTTGGATAAACAGGATCGGCACGTACCGGTGACCTCTTCATTTCGAGCTAGTTACCCGAGTTACTCGCTCTTTCGTTGCGTTGGGTCGTGTGTCAACGAACTGCTGGTTGAAAAGTGTTACTAATAATCAAGGGAGCGAACGGTAGATTGTAGATAGTGAGAACTTTAACAAAGCGGAAACTTGTAATGTAGATCATTCTTATTGTTAACATTTTTATTATTTGATATCTTATAATATTACACCTCTTGCAATGGGATTTCGCAATGTAGTTCACAAAGATGTCTTCCATGTGAAAGAAAATATTTCACTTCGCCATCGATAATCATGAATGCTATCACTAGTATTATTTATTTTCGATATAAATTTTTGACGTTTTTCGTTAGAAAATAATAAATAACAAAGAATATTAAAATGTGTGTCGATTTTACAAATATTCTTATAATTTTTTTCATTTCTTAATTGATTGCAATGTTTTATGACTGTTATAATTTTTCATGACATCGAGGTTATGCGAGAAAATAAGACATCAGAGCCGAATGTGACTAAGATCCCGGTTATAAGACGAGATGGTTGCAAGACAGGATTGGCACGTTCCTCGTTTGATGTTTGGCGATTTGGTCTTCCGACTGGAGACGGGCGGTCTTTCCGGGTGTCTTTCCGGTCAGTCAGGGTCATGTGTCGACGGATTATGAGGTGGCCAGCGCTGCTAATGGTTGTACGATGATCTTGACCCGTGAGACACGAGCGTGTAATCCGCCACGCTGGCTAGGGTTGTAGGTCACTGCGACAGGGTCTCTCGTTCTCCAAACAAGTAATAAAAGCAGATATGTGACTGCAAATACAACGTAAATTAGCGACAGCCTAGTGTTGGGCCATTCAAAATTTATGGCATTCTCAACAATATCTGAGAAATACAAGGAAGTTCTGTGAATTTCCTATAAAGGGTCACAAAAAATTGGAAACTGTATAAGAAACACGAGATTGCGATAGATAAGTTTAAATTCTAATAATAAAAAAATGATAACTTAAAAAGATACTTGACTTGAAAAGTCTCGAAAGGGTGAAGAATACTCGGGTTTTCGCGGATGCGAAAAACAATGATGAGTCCAGGTAAACAAAGTCATTGTCTCGCTGACGATATGGATTAAAAGTAAGCAGCTGTTTCAGATGGTAGACGGGGAATGATGCCGTCAGCTGACGAAGGGTGGGAAAATAGAATCGCACAGCAGAGTCGTCCTCAGCCGAATCGGATGCTGTAAGGGAGTGATCTTTCGCGTTCAGTGACGTCATCGATTTCGACGTGGCAGCTGTTGCCTTCTGACCGTACCTACCCCAAGATTGATTGCGAGATTAGTCCAAGTATCTTCGTTAGTGAAGGGATTCTAGTTTGGTCCGCACCGGCAAACTAATACTTGTCTCGCGACCAAAAGATCACTTTCACAAACTGTTATCCATTCGGACCATTTTAGCTTTTGTTTCATCACAATGCACATCAAATAATCCCGTATTGAGGAAAATGAGAAAATGACATTATTATTATAAACTTAAAGATAGGGATTTAAAAATTATTGCAAGTTTGATTTCAATTTTAACTCCTAATTATAATTTGAATGAAAATTGAAAATTGGAAGTACTTTGGTCGTAATCTGAATTAAAACTGTAATGTGTAAATAAAAAAATAGCGACATGCAGCTGTTGGCCAGAGATTGAAATCGAAAACTTGAAGCCTTGTATTCCTGACAAGTGCACACGTCTTCTAAAAGTCTGCCGCCATCGGAGACAAGGATGTTGCTCGTTAACAAAACGGCCTCAAAGCCACGTACGACGTACGATTTCGTAAGATTTTTCAGGTGTCCAGATGATAAACGATCGCCATACGTGCGAACGCATCTCCACGTGGATTTTCGCGAGCGCCAAGCCTTTCGGAGAAATGAACCTGTTGCGGAGCTTTATGAGCAGCATTAACATACTTCGTGTTTCGCGTGAGCTGTGGCCGCCACGAGCTTAAGTGCATCATGGATGGTGAAAATATTTCATTACATTAGCGCAAAGAATGAGAAAGAAAAAGGGAGGGAAAGAAGCGTTTACTGCTATCTCTCGGAATTATTCTTCTCTGCAGGTACAATATATATGCAAGCAACATGCGCAAACAAAATGGACTTCAATTTCTAGGATTATCCATAAATAAATGCAACCATAAATTTTGTGTTTATGATGGAAAAATATCTGCGTAGACGTGTCGACAGCATCAACGAAAAGTATTATATTTTTTTTTAACAAAGTTTTCTTCTTTTCTTTAGAAATCAAAATCGGTTAAAACTCACGTACATGAAACATATATAATTAAGGAAAATAAGTTTCGTGACCCTACATGAATTTGAATATAATATCTCATTCACAATTCTATACCTTTGAGAAAAAAGTTATTGTAAGTGCCAGAAAAAGTTACAATATTTTTATAACAATTTTAAAGTTGTAATGGAGTTATAAATTTTTAGTTAAAATTATTGAAAAAAATGATTTATTGTATAACAACGTATTAGTGAACGAGAGAGAAAGTTTCTAAAGTAATTATTTAAATATATATAGGTAGATTAATCTCTTTCGGAAAAAAATAAACTATTTAGCAAGAAAATTGAACTATAAATATTGATGACATAAATATGATTAACAATTTGACTCGGTTTTTCTCAAATGTAATCGATTTGATTTTCACGTGGCATCGTCCTTTCGATATCTTTCCTGTCAAAAGCAACTCTGTCCGTAAACTTCTCTGAAGCTTCAACTGAGCGAAGCCCAATCATCCGTCTCGCTTCGCCGAAAGCATTCTGCGGACTTTCCCGCACTAAGCCTTACGATAACGCCGACGTCACGTTCTCGACGGCTGCGAATAGCGGCGGGTTTCGACGAGGTTTCGGCTTTCGATGCATCAGTTCGCGCGCGTGTGCATACGAGCTGGCAAGTATTGTTTGCACGAGGATTCCAAGCTGTGAAAATAATTGTGTGCCGAGCGAAAGACAGAGAAACCGCGAAGACCGAGCGGAATAGCAGTGGAGATGGCAAAGGGGGAGGAAGGGAAAAAACGGTTCCCAGGATTCGAATAGCTTCGTATGTCTCCTATAAAGAGAAGATTGTTCTGGCTTCATTCCATTCGCGGGGGGATAGATGAGGCGAGGGGTCTTTTCTTCGTGGCTTCGCGAAGGGTGACTGAGAGGGATGCTGCTACTGCTGCTGCTGCATCTGCCCCTTTGGTGTAATGATATCTGAAAAAAGAACTACTGCATTCAGCGAGACTCCAGGCCATCAATTTGCCTCCTAAATAGGATTCGACGAAGCATGTCTCTTTCTTTTTCTTTATTTCTCTCTCTCTCTCTCTCTTTCTCTTTTTTTCTCTCCTTTGATAGATATTGACCTTTGTGACTTCCAGGATTTAATAAAAGGAGAAATATTAAAATCTGCCGAGTTTTTGCATTTCGTGGCATCGTCTCTTCGTTTTATCAGTATTATTTCGATTCATCGGTATGATGTAATTTGTACTTTAGATGTAACAATATTACGATTGTTATATGCAGTTTATATACATATATGTAATTAATCCTCCGTCGATAATGTGAAATTATCACCCTTCATCCGCAATGTGGATCTTCGAACTTTAATACAAATTTTTATATTGTCCTGGACTGTATCAAAATCTGAAAAAATGTTTATGTATATATATTTGTGAAGGTTTTAACAGTGAGTTTATTATTATGAAAATTTAATTGTACTTCACTTATTTTTTTACAGATTTAAATTTATTGACCTTGAATTCACTATCAAAAAATCAACTGTTTCTTTAAAATCTAACATTGTCGGTGAAAGGTTAGATAATGTAATTAAACAACAACATTGTCATAACGAAAATAATGTTTATTTAAGTTGGTTCAGTAAAATATCTCGAACTCTTATGGATATTTCACGTTGTTTATTCAAGCATTTTCTAAAACATGATAGTGTTACAATGAAATAGATTCTTTGAATTATAAACTTATATTGATCTTTCTTTTATAAAATCTTTAAATAATAAAACTGAGAGATTATTATATTAACGAGAGATTATCGATCTTTCTGTTTTCAGAGATATTTTCGGACTTTCACGAGACAACCATGAAATCAAATGGACTAAGGAAAGCTTCGACGAGGGACTTAGAACAAACAATGCTGAAAACCATCGTCTATTGAAAGAAGGCCAACAATACATTTCAGAGGAAAAGAACTTTCTCGCTTTAGGCCTTCTCGAGGAAGAAGAAGATAGAGAAAAGCCGTTCTACGAAGATGCTCAGTCATTTAACATCGTTACATTTAAAATCGAAATTTAATTATGTAAACGCGATGCACTAAGTTATTTAAAATTTTTATAATAATATAAATAACGAGAAACATTTTTAATAATAAAAATGAAAGAATTTTCAATTTATTAATAAGAAAGTACACAGAAATGTAAAATAAAATGTGTGAGGCATTTGAAACTTCAGGTGTCGTTTTTCTTTGAATGTAAATAAAATAAATTTTATATCGTATTATGTAAATGTTACATATATATTAGGTGTTGGAATTAATTCGTAGCGTTTTACAAGTGATGGGAAGTACTTTCATTAATGTATTTTTTAATGCTCATGTGAAATAAATAACATTCTTTCATTAAAAAACGCTAATATATTTAAATTATTTGGTACATATATTACTTTAAAATAATACTAAAAGGAAAGAGATGAGAATGAAACTTGTAGAGTTAGTTATTAGACTAGCAACCATAAATTTCGGAAGCTTCAAATACATATTTCAACTGAGAGAACCAGCATACCAAAGATATTTCCATAAAACTTCCATGACTTCGTCATGGTTGAATATATACAGTGAATACATGTTTACAATTTTATATTGCTCTTCTTGGAAATTTTATCTTAAGTCAGTTTTGAAAAAAATAATAATTTAAATTAAAATATATATATATATATACTTAATGAGTCATCATATTAAAAAATTATAATAAATTATAATAAATTACAACAACTTTTAATTATTGTGAGGGATGAAGTATTTTTTAGTGTCTAGCGGTATGGTAAAAAATATATATATATTGATAAATGCAATGATTTCAATGAAACTTCATTATCTATACAATTTCGATCACAATATAAAAAATAAGTTTAATTAATGACGTTGCGATTTTGAATGCATCGTTTCGACCATCATTTTTCACGATTAACAATACAATGACTTTTCTGGAATTTTTCGAAGCAAGATGGTCATTTCAAGGGCATTTCTGTATTATTCGCGTGAAAAGAGCAAAAATGTATACTATTGGAACGTAGACCGAGAGGGAAAAGAAGAGAGATATAGAGAAAAAGAAATAGGCGTTGCAGTCCGGACACCCTATATTTTGGTCTCATTTTACTAAAAGCCGATCGTATTTCACGATTCCACTCGTCGCGAGGACAATGTGCCTGCGTGCCGTTTTCCATTTCTCTCTCCCCTTCTACTCTTTTCTCATTTCCTCTTTCCTCTACTCCTCCTCGCTCCTTCCAAATTCGTTTTCACGAGACGCGCGACTAACTCGACTTAGGGAACGAGAATCTCTCTTTTCGTGCTCCCGTTTTTTTTTTCATTTTTTCCCTTTCTTTTTTCTATTTCTTTTTTCGCCTCTGAAAAACCGCGCATTGAAACGCATTGAGTCGCGGTCATTTGTCCGCAATTTGACCATAAATGAAGCCCTCAACGAGGGATGTTTACTCGTCGCACTAAATTCCTCTCTCAGATCCTTTTCCTACATCCGTTCGACTTTCTCCCTTTTTTACGCGTTTCGATGCTCCTTTCGGTGACACTCCTATCGCGAGTGCACGATATATCGCAGTGGGTTCAAACGGCACGCACCATGGAAAATGTAGGAAAGCAGGAAGATTCGTTGCGGGCCACGACCTCGCGAAAAAAATGTCGCTTATAGTAAGATAAAAAAAGACATGAGAAGCCCAAATATACGTTGAGTTTCGTAGTGTAAATATTCTTTTGCTGTATTAGATACGAAAAATGAAAATGAAATGGAAGGTGCAGAAATAAAATTAATAAAATAAAATTTTCATCGAGCAGGTAAACACGAAAAATTCTTAATTTTGCGTAAAAAGAATAATTAAAATGGCAATCAATTTTTTATTTTGTCAAATATAAATTCAATTGAGATTAAAACTTAAGTGAGAATTGATTTGACAAAAAATTGCTCTTTAAACTACTATAAATGAAATTGTCTTATAACACAATATTTCATTTTACATATAACAGTTTATATTTTATTAAGTAAATTCTTATCTCCAAATTTTACATTTTAAGAAAATAATGCAGGATGATTCTAATTCACTTATCTTATGATTCAGAAATAAACTGAAGACATTGTTCCATCACGCGCATATTTTGCTTTTTCCTTATAACTTTAATTTATATCAAACAATATCATACAAATATATGTAGCAATAGTCTCCACAGAGAGATTTATAATTTTTACATTGCATGACCAATCAACGTGCCTTTTCGACACGGACCGTCACGAAACTTTCTCATGGGATCTAAAATTACATCGATCGCAGCGACGAGATAATCGTATGGCTGCTAACGTAATAATTGGACCGCTCACCAATGTCGGCGAGCGTACGTCGACCAATGAGAGATTGCGCTACGTTAAAAAAAATGGGGGGAAAATGAAAGAAGGAAAAAAAAACCTCTACAATGATCCTACCGAAGGACTCGGCCAGCAAGTCGTAAGGGGGAAAGTCGCGACTAGGGGGAATCAAATCAGACGAATCGTAGGACGAGCTGGACGATGAACGAGGACACTTGAGGACGCACGAGGACACGACAATGGTGTCCATCCGTTCGTCCGTTAGGAGGATCTTCGCAAGGCGGCGCGTGGAACCGTTCGTGTACAGATTTGAATATTAATTTAGGGTCGTCGACGGGGCGACGTAGGATATTGCCCCGGGGTCAGCGGCAGGTCCGACGGAAGAAGGATCCCCGTGTCCTCGTTATCCGTTGCTGCAGCCTGTTAATAAAGCGCCGCCACCCCTGTCTCTGCTGGCCGGAATAGTGATACCATGTAACGGACCGTGCGTCGACTCGTTCGCCCATATTGTCGTTGTGCTCGTAGGACGTAGGTACGTGGAAGAAATTGCGTAACGGACGAGGCGCTTCCTCGCGGCGGAACCGAGCCGCCAGGTAAAATTATGTAACGGGCGGTAAACGCGGTCGTTACTTTGTCAGAGGCGTCTTGGCGCTAAGATACGATAGCCGTGCCGCTGAAAGGGTTAGTCGAGAATTTAAAAAGAAAGGCCAAGACTCATTTTAAAGTCCCGTATCTTAAAGTGGCTCGCGCTGCAGAAATGCCGCGAGTAACAGTAAAGAGTATCAAGAGTGTTTATCAATATTAAGTAGTACCTAAGATTTCACTCGCAGAACGTAAACTAACAGCAAAATTACATCAATTTCTTACACTCAGCGATGTAACGTAATAACACTTATTGTATATGACAATTACATTATTGAGAAGGAAATTATAATGTAATATTACTGATGTAATATTACTGTTAGTTCGTGTTCTACCTCTCTTGCACTTTTGTAAGCTTTTAAACGCCCGTATTATATTTCTCAAATAATATATCGTATAATATATAATATCGAGATTGCCGTGATTGTTTAAATATTCTTTAAACTTTTTGCATCTTTGTGGAACGTCTTTCAGATATTTTGTTTCTCTTTGGATAATATCTCTTCCAATATCGATTTACTAGGTAAATATAATATGGAAGATAATATATGTGTAACGATAAATAGAAAATTTTAAAAGGCTTATCTTCTTAATATCGTTCTACGAAATTCTTTGTCTGGATATTAATGATCGAGTGTAAAACGCATAAATTAACTGTGAATCTATTACTGTCATACTTCATTTTATCTGATATATATGCCTTTTCGTGAACAAAATGACCGAGATAAAAAGAAGACAGTGTAATGTACTCGACGGGAGAAGTTGGGTCTACTGGTTCCAAAGGTTGCGATGTAACGGACTATTTTATGACCTGGATATTATCTGGTCATCGTTCCTGAGATTTATACGAGTGAAATCGACTAGAAATCATGGTTCCTTCGGGATAAATAGGATAATACGTATGATTAGTATCTACTTTCTAGTAGAAGCTTCCCTCAACCTATTATAGCGTTCTAGTAAGAATATTCATTACGGCCCGTTTGCGATATTAATAATTCACGCTGCGTTTTATATATTCTTCCTCAGACTTGGAATCATAATGCAATAAGTAATAATAGCATAATAATGATAGCAATTGATCGAAAATAGTTTTTTGAATAAGATCAGATTTCAGTCCATTAAAAGACAAGTGAAAATAGAAATAAAATCTTTTAGTCTTTAACTTATTGAAAGGTCAAGAAGATTGCTATTTATTTTGTAAACATGATTTTCAATGTTTATTTAATCTATCGCATTCACTGTAATATTAAACATCTTTCTTTTTTTTTTTTTTTTTTTAATGATTGCTTTAAATTGAACTCTCTGATGCAATCATTCAATAAAAAATAGACGTCAGAAAATCTCATTTATATTTCTCTTTTACGAGCTCAATCAATAAATCTACAGGTCTCTTAGTAATTTTTCGATAATTCTCTAAAAGTGCATTATGACATTTAACGTCACATTTCACCGCGAGCGATAGAATTTGCAAATCGAGAAGGTTTGTAGAAACGCGGAGAGGAGAGGCCCGCAGAATCCGACCGGAATTTCGCGCATTACATGCAGCCATTAATTACAGCCAGACTTTTGACCACCATGATCGGTACATTGCGTCGGCGAATCTGATATACTAATGATCAATGATCCATCGCGCGCCTATAAATAGTAACGTGGTATTAACGTGGTCGGCGGGCCTTTCGTCGATCTCAAGGCGACTGAATACGGCAGATCTGATTGCTCGGTTCTCGGAAAGGCGAATTAAGGATTCCGCTTTCGAGCAGCATACCGCCATCGGTATCGGCGATCGGCGATCGGCAGTGGTATCGCAATGTCGTAATAACAATGTCTGACTCCTGTGAGCGCGACAGCGGGGGAAATTAACGTTCTCGAAATTGATTGAGCCAGGAATTATGTCCCTCCAACTTTTATTCTTGTGTCGCCGCTTTTACAAAAGAACCGCCACGTGCAAGGTAAATTCATGGATCGCCGCTCGACTAAATCGAATTATCATATTAATACCGACGCGTCATCGTCTCATTACTCATTTATGCCGGGCCAATATCTCATAAACGTCCAGCGCGAATATAAATCTGTAAT